GGTCAGTTTCAGCAGCGGCTGAATCTGGACGCCAGTTCCGACTTACATACAGATTCAACTTAAGAACAAACCTACAGTCCCTATCTTGTACGTAACCCGGGGACTGCCTGTATTTCAAAAGTGAAACTGCCGTCTAGACGCAGTTCTTTTGAAAAAAAAACAACCCTTTTTCGAAAGATCCTGTACTCCTCAGTACAGGAATACAGGATCTTTCAAAAAAGGTGGGGTTTTTTTTTCGAAAGAACTGCATCTAGATGGCGGTTTCACTTTTGAAATATCCATTTCTGAAAGAACGCGTGGCTGCCATTATGCAAATGAAGTGCAGGAAATTCAAATCCCAGCTTCATTTGCAATTTTAATCTGTCTAATTTACATCCCTCTTTCGAAAGAGGGATGTAGTCTGGACCAAGCCAGAGAGAATCGGGTATTCTAAACCAGCTTTTCTCCACAAAGTTGCTAGATCAGAATCCTGAAAATCTTCTTTCAATGTGTTATCTTCTCACACACCAAGGAATTCTGCTTTCACCTTGTCTTCAGTTATTTTTTCTTCCACTGTAAATGGTCTCACAAGCTATGCATTTATGTGACACTGTTCTGTATCTGGCAAGTATCCACTGATGGATTCTGTTACTGACAGTGTGTTATGGTATCATCAGCAAATGAATATTTCTGTTTGGTAGGCTCAAGCAGAGTTGTCAATTCTAACCACATGGATATATCACCAGCTTTAACTTTACATGGGTAAAGCTGGAACTTACTGAGGAAGCTAGCAACCTTGTCTTGAGCTGTGAGAATATTCATCATATTTTCTTGTTGTGAGAGGTTTAGCTGATTAATTTCAGTAAAAATCAGCAAGGTATGCCAATTTTAGAATGAATGTATGGTCCATTATTTTCTCAAACAATTCTTGCCTTTAGCAGATCTGTCTCTTTGGAAGAACATTGATATTTCTTTTTTTAGTTGCAACACTCGGTGTAAGACTTTTCCACGCAATAACTAGTGAACTTCTGTATGAAACAGAAGTGCACTAAATTCAGCTCCAACCTCTTCACACAATACTCTAAACTTCCTGGAATTTGTGGCACTACCTTGAATATGATTAACAATTTTAACAACTGCACAGAACACTTAATTAAGATTTGGTGGAAGTGTCTTCACAGCTAAAGCTTATCTATGAAGCAGACATAAGGGGCGACCTGCTTTATATGAGCCTTAAATACAGAGTGAACTTCCATCATCGATGGTGCTCTATCAGTGCACATACCAACTAATTTTGTCCATTGTAACCCCTTCTCGACAAAGAAATTCTGCATTGTTCTGTACACTTCTTCTTCGCATGCAGTAGTGGTCAGTGATTCAGAGAACAGGAATTGCTCCTTCACATAGTCACCTTTTATGTACCAAGCATACACAAATAATTGTTCCCTGGAGGTGATATCTGTTGATTCATCTGTTGGATGAAGTGCAAAGTAGGGACTAACTTTAATCTCTGCAACTACTTGATCCAAAATGACTTCTCTCATCTCAGAAATACGCCTTTTCAAAGTGCAGTTTGAAAGTGATATCTGATCCACCTTTTTCACATGTTGCTCCCCAATAACAAGCCTCACTGTTTCAACCAGACATGGGTTTATGAGATCTTCTCTGATTGTTTGAGGTTTTTTACATTCAGCAGTTTGGAGAGCAATACGATAGGATGCTTCAAGAACAGCTTCAATTGTCTTCGCAAACTGACCAGTTGAATCCAAACTAGAGGATTTCAACATGCATTCTTTTAAAAAAAATATTCAGTATCTTTTCTTATAAACTCTTTATGGATTTGTTGAAAATGGTCCCTCAGTTTGCTGGGCTTCATACTCTCCACAGTAAGCAATCTGGGGATAAGTGTCGGGCCGGGGGGAGAGTGCAGGAATGGGTGGGGGGTCTCACTGGAAGGGATGAGTGAAGGGGCTATGGATGCAGGGTCTTGGCCGAGGGGGCGTATGAGAGGACTAGGGTGTGGGGAGAGAGGAGGCCGCATGGCTTCTGCCTCCTCTGAGCACCGTGGAGTGGGGAGGCTGGGCAGCCAAGCTGCTGGTGGGCCACAGTGACAGCCCTATGGCTCAGGACATGTCACCCCCAACTGCCAGAAACTATCTTGCTCAAGTCCTGGGGGGAGGGCAGGGGGAGCAGCTCGATGCCTACAGCAGCCAGACAATCTGAGGGAGAGAGGGTCATCCCCAGCATCAGACTGTCCCCTGTTGCCTCCAGCAGTGTGTGCCCCCCTTCTGTGCAGGTAGGAGCCCGAACTGCTGCTGGGATCTGGCATGAGCGGAAAAGCATGTGTGGAAGGACAGGGGGTTTCCCGGCATTGGAGAGAGAGGGGGACCGTGAGTAGCTAACGACATGGTGGCGCTGCTGCCATCAACTGAAATCCTGGATCCCCATCCCTAGGGGCCGCTCCATTATGGGTTTGCCAGTGGTTTATATGAGCTGAATGGTAACAGGATTGAACATGTCGCTGCAAGTCAGATTAAGTTGTGCTGCAATGCGCACTGTTACTGCATGACTCATACTACTTGGAAAAAACAGTAATAAAATATTGTTGAATAAAGTAAATAAATTTAATGCTGTCACCATTACTTTGTGTTAGTTTAATTTAATAATATAATTAATAAATATTTTTCTTGGCTGATATTACTCTATTTATCAGAAGTGTGTGTAGCTTACCAGCTCATTACCCTCTGAAATACGCTAAATTATCCCTAGAGGGTAATTACCCCAGGTTAAGAACTACTGATCTAGGTTGAAATCCCTACCCCACTGAAGTCCATGGGAGTTTTGCTATTTGCATCAGTGGAACTAGAATTTCATCCTTTGTGACTTTTTTAAAATAGGACTAAGGGTTTTTTCCCAGGATTCCTGACCAAAATTCTTCTTTCCCAGCTCTTGTTGTATATGTTGTATGCCTGTTGTCACCTAACTGCAAATCTTCTGCCATGGAGGTGACTTGCATGATGCCTAGATATGTTATAATTTATTATTAATTTTTAGCGATGTGTGTGACATTTTCTAAACAGACAAGTTATTATGCTTATCCCGCTGAGTTCATAATGTAAAGAATATAGAGCTACGTTTGCAGACGAACACAAAAAGTATGCATATTTGACATGAACACTAAGTTGTGCAAGCAGTTTTGTTAAAGTATATGGAAATGACCAGTCATGAATCTCAGTTGCATGTTGTATATAATTTTACAGCAACCTCCAGCTTAATTGTAGTAACTGTGGACGCAAGCCAGGCATGCATATGTGTGAGCATTTTCACAGATTTCTGGAAACTTGGTTTGTTTTTTGTAAATCACTTATGGATTTTGGAGATAAAATACTACTTGAAAATAATGTAGTGAATTTTAATTTTGTATCAAATTATTTTTATTCTTTTTAGGTGTCACAGTCAGATAGCCAATCTGAAGATAAGAAACAGAAGGAAAAGAAACTGCAAAGAGACAGAGAAACTCAGGACATGGTTGATTACAAAGGATATGTACACAAGGATCAAGACAAGGACAGAGGAGAGGCAAAAGAAAGGAAAGGAGAACGAGAGAGATTTAAATCTAGTGAAAGAGACAGGGATAAGCTGAGAGAGACAGAAAGGGGAAAAGATCACAGAGAACGAGAGAGAGAGAAATTTAAGGAGAAGATCCAAGAAAAAGATGCAGAGAAGGAAAAACACATCACAAGAAAAGATAAAGAGAAGGGGAGTGAGAAGGAAAAAGACAGAAAATATAGGAGGGATGATCAGAAACAAATGCTTAAACAGAATAACCTGAGAACACATGGAGAAAAGGATAAAGAACAACACAGAAGAAGAGAAAGCAAGGATCAATTGGGTAAGGTGGCATGCTTTGCTGTACATGTTTTGAAGTATTTCACATTTTTTAGATGATAGAAATAGACTGAAACCAAATCTGTGTCTGAGCAGAGAGTGTAGTTGATGGGCAGTGGGTGCCTAGTTGCCATGTGTGCCTTTGAAAATCTTACTCAGTAACCCAATCTTACTCTTTCATTTCAAGGCTCTCAAGTTCTCAGCTGCCTCTTTTCCTTCCCAATGAGTTCCTGACTATAGTAGTTTTGAGTGAGTGATTAACAACACAGTGGGTGGCATATAAGTCCCTGTATGGATTGGGTAATCTTAATATAAGGTACCTAAATTCTGCATAAAATTGCACTGTAATTATTGATTCATAGTTCCTACCATCGTGCAAGATGGAATGTTGTCTTTTTCAAGGTTTTAGGCAAAACCCCAGATGCAACCAATCTTGGGGTGAAATTTAGGCTCAAGTTTATGTTGTTTTATTATTTGTTACCAATAAATCCAGCCTCCCAAAGGTGGTGGTTTGATTTTTATATTAGCATTACCTGTCCCATTGTGATGGTAGACATACACTCAGGTTGGCCTGGCATGGGGAGCAAAAACAACCCTGGCCATCATCCGCGAAGGACCTGCTGCTGCCATGGCCATATCTCCGCTGCTCTACTCCCACCTTGTGCAATACACTCACATCCGCTGGAGTCCATCATCCAGGTGCTGGTAGGCTGGATCCTGACCAGCCTGCCAGACTCCCTGCACTACATAGACTCCATTCCACACTCAGCCCATGGGCTGCTAAATTATTCCTTGTTTGGAGCAGCATCTGGCTGCCATGTGGGACTGACTGTCACAGACACTGGGGCTGGGGTCAGGGGTCCCTGCACTGCTGGCAGAGCTCTGCCCCAGTGGGATCAGTCCAGGGGGCTGGGGCTCCTCTCCCGTGCTGTACAGGGGCCTGGGCAAACTTGAACCAGCATTGTGCCCAACTGCAGGGGAAGGTATGGTTGGGGGTCTGGGAGCTGCCGTGCACTGGGAGCTGCCTTGGCGAGGGGGGCAGAAAAAAGGAAGCTGGGAGGTGCTGTCTTCTCTGGGGAGGCAGAGAGGGGCTCCCACCGGGCAGGCCCAGGCTTGCTCTGCACATATCAGAGCTGAGGCAGCTCCACCTTCCCACCTTCTCCCCACCCCTACCAGTTGCTGCTTCACTTACTGCTGCAGCCAGAGCAAGCAGCTCCAGTGCAGGCTGCTTTTCCCTGCCAGCTCTAGCCCTAGAGAAGCTAGTAACTCACCTCTCTATCCTCACCTGATACCAGCTCTAGCCTTAAGTTCCTGGGGCAGAACTTAAACCCACAATCCTAGGTTCTCAAATCTCCCAGTGTATGCTCAAATGTTCTCTGTGACAGATGGCGTGATGGACATCTCTCCTTTTATAATAGTACAGATCGGGGTGGGCAATAATTTTTGATGGGGAGCCACTCCAAGAATTTGGAAAGTGGTCAAGGGACGCACTCTTCCATAATATTAATGAAGCAGCTGCAAGGACTGGGACGGAGGTTAGGTGCAGAAGGGAGCTTGGGGTAAGGGAGGGAGTTTGGGTGAAGGAGGCAGTTGTAACTCTGGGGCACTGGAGTGGGGTGCAAGGGGTTGGATTGTGACCTAGGGCAAGGAATTGGAATACAGAAGGGGGTACAAGGGTTTGGGTTGTGAGCTAGGGCAGGAGGCGACTTATCTTATCTGGGGCAGGGGATTGGGGTGCCAGATCTGGGTGGGGGTATGGATGCATGAGGGGGCAGAGGATTTGGATATGTGGAGTAGGGGAGCAGGAGCGGGGGGCAGAGGGTTGGGGAAGGAAGGGGCTGGGGTGCCAGAGGCAAGCTCTGGCCAGGAGACATACCAGCTGGCAGCCCATTCCTGCATCAGCCTCCCTGCCTGCCCTGCTCACACACAGGCTGCAGCCCTGTGCTCTGTAAATAAGTACGAGTCCCTTGTGCTTTGTGGATACCTGTTATTGAAACGGGCAGCTCCCATTGTCCAGTTTCTGACCAGAAGCTGGCCAGTGGGATTGTGCTGGGGGTGGAAGCACTTCCTAAAGCTTTCCCGCCTCCCCTCTGGGCTCAGTTTTTAAAATGAAACTGCCCTGCAGCTGCATTTCTGAATGGCATGCAGGTGGGGCAAGGCAAGTGAGGAGCCTACCTGGGGCTCCCCACAGCATCTGCAGATTGGATCCAGTGGCTTTTTGGGCCAGATCCAGCCCATAGGCCATATTTTGCCCAGGCCTGCTATAGATATAGATGTATATATATTCATTTGAGAAATGGGTGACAACTCTGTCTACTTATATTAACACTGCTAGATTTAGGGTCCATGTTACTGAACTGTGGAATACATGACACATAGTAAACTGTAATGTGTCATGTATCACATTGGGGATTTTTACTGTAATAAAGAAAAATGTCTTTAGTAATTTTATGTATATATAATTTTTTTTAGAGCAAGCAAATGTAAGGGATGAAGTGAAAGAGAGAAGACATACAGAAAGAAAAGTAAAGGAGGGAAAAGTAAGGACATATTTCATAACAGCATAAGATAAGGTGAAATGTCATGAATAAATTGGATAAAATTCCAGTGCCTGCATTATTCAAGAAATGCATTTATACTAGGCTTAAATGTAAATAGTTAAAAAAAAATCAAACTGTTTTTGAACATCATTCTTTAATTATACTTATTAAAAGGGAAATTCTTTTAACTTTCAACATGAAAACATTTAAATTTTATTTGCTTTTAACATTACTATTACTATTCTTTAAGGAGATATGTTGTTCTTGTTTAAACAGGTAGCTATTATTTATTTTTGTACATCATCTTCCAAACAACTTTTATTTATTAATGTATTTATTACTAATGTGTTTATTTGGCATTATAAATATATATGGTGCTTTACAACAGATTATGTGCTCAAAAACAGAGAAAAATCTCTGCTTGAAGAATTCATACTGTAAGGCAGGACTACTTAACACATGGCCCGTGGGGCCGCATGCAGCCCACAGCCTGATTGTTTGAGGCCTCCAGTGCAGTTTGGGTTTACGTGGGGCTCAACACGCGGCCCACAGGTGGGAGCCAAAACAAAAAAGTAGTCAATATAATAGTCCTCTGTTGATATGCATTTTAGTAGTTAAATTCCTAGACTGTCATTCCTCATTAAAAGTGCTGTCATTTGGGTGGAAATCAGGTAAATATTGTATTTTATTAATATCAGCAGAACTGACTTAAGTGGAGCCTGTGTGTTGTGTAGTCTTGCCTTAATCTTTGTATTCATGCTCGTCAGTGTGAAAGAAGCTATTTGCATATATTTGCATATATATTTGCCTGGATATGCAACCACACTTAAGTTGCAGCCCTTGGCATATGCTGTGAGCATCATTGTGGCCCCCAGAGCTTTCAAAGTTGAGTAGCCCTCAAGGTGAGTTTACCATTACACTGAGATGCACATTTTCCCAGTGGAAGTAGTGAAAGCCCTGTTGCTAGTGTAAATAGAAAATTCAGTGGACACAACACATGATAATATATTGCGTGGAGAAATCCTGTACTGGCAGGGAGATGGGCAAGATGATCTAATAATCCTGACTTCTAGAATTATAGAGTTCTGTTACTTTTAATGTTTTAATTAAAAATCTATCTCTGACTTCTTTGTATTATTTTTCCTTGTCCAGAAAAGTGAGCGCAAAAATAGTGTTGGTGAGTTTTTAACCATGAAAGATGAAGGAAGTGGACATAGACACAAGTCACATAGAGATCAAGAACTGAATAAAGACAGAGAGAGAAGTCAGAGGGATAAAAGAGAACATCAACATTTAGTTAGGGCAGGAAAGGAGAGACCTTCAAAACAAAGAAGCCATGAATTGTTTGTAAAGGATGGGGAAGAAAAATGTGTGTCAAGGAGACCTAAAGAAGGATTTTCTACTGAAGACAGAGAAAGACAAAAGAGAGAGAATAATGAAAAAAGACAGAGGGAAGAAAATGAAAGAAAGAAAAGAGATCTTAAGGTTAGTTTTTGTAAAATTTAAAAGTTGCAGTTAACGTGTTTGGATATCATCTTATTTCATCTATTACCCAGTCCATCTTGAAAATGTTTTGTTAAAACAGAAAGGCTACGTCTACACTGGCCCCTTCTTCGGAAGAGGCATGCTAATTTCTAACTTTGGAATAGGGAAATCCGCAGGGGATTTAAATATCCCCCGCGGGATTTAAATAAACATGGCCGCCGCTTTTTTTCCGGCTTGGGGAAAAGCCGGAAAAGAGCGTCCAGACTGGTGCGATCCTCTGGAATAAAGCCCTTTTCCGGAGGATCTCTTATTCCTACTTGTCTGCTTCTGGTTCCTTTCAAGTAGGAATAAGAGATCCTCCGTACGCCAATTCTGTCAGCCGACGGTCAGGGCAGTGTGTGTGTGTATGTTTCCGAGAAAAGGTTTAACGTCCGTGCCTTTACTGCTAGGACCGGGGTCCCATCGCAGAGGGTGGCCAGCAGGCCAACAGACGCCCCGTTATATAGGAAGAGCTTATTACATCTTAGATTTCAGCTGCTAGAATTTCATAATTCCTTCGCAGCGGGCAGCCTTGAGGAAAGACTGAAAGATGCCCCAGTGGGTCTTGTCACCTGGGAGTGACACAGATCCAAACCCCAAGCTCTCCCTATGTCTGTCCCTTTATGACCGGCTGAAGTTCTTTTAAATTGTGCCTGGTTCTGTTACAGCAACTGAAGGAGTCAGGTTAAAACTTAAACAGTTACAGGTTTATTAAAGAAGCTTATAAATCATATGGTTACAATGGCTATTGCTCTATTTTTTAACTATTAGCAAAATATAGGTCTTAAAATGGTTACAAAGAAGATAAAGATAGAAAAATAGAAATAATGGTACCAAGTAACAGCTTACTCTTTCTATGTGTACACTTAAGACAGAGGACCACATCCAGGTACCATTTTTACCCCCTTCTGTGCCTCTCGACTCCAGCATGTCAGGCCAGGGCCGGTCCCTCAATTCCTAGGAAAGACGAAAATACGAGGTGGGCGTCCCCATAGAACCTCGGGAGGTCAAACACCTAACCCGACCAGCAGGTAGAGGGTAGAATGACACTCAAAGTGAGTGTGTGCTGGGCCCATCTTTTATACTCATGGGGTCACGTATTTCTCTTTCTTGTCTGTCATGCCAAATGGGGCTGGTCTGTCTTTTGTGAGACCAGTTCTTACAAGGGAGTTGTGAACTTAATTTACACTTGTAAGAGAGATAACTAAATTGGAATTACTGGGGATTCTTTTCTCAGTGGGAAATTCCTCTTCCAGGGACTGTGTGTGTGTTCGAATCAACATAGGTGCCAGCCGGTGGCAGTCTCGCATATCCTGATCTCTCCTCATATCTGTGTTTCAGCTTCTCAGGATCAGATGAGCCAACATAGACTATGCTGATTTTACTGCTCCTTCTCTGCCCTGTATGCTTCAGAGAGGCAAATAAGATGGATGTGATGGAGGCGGGCTGTCTGGCCACATTCACTCAAGGGGCAAAACATTTTAATATTTCATGTAATGTATAGATGCACACCTGCACTGTAAGGGCACGTCTACACAGCAGAACTAAAGCTGAAATAAGCTATGCAACTTGAGCTATGTCAGTTGCGTAGCATAAGTTGAAAGTGCTTATTTTGGCTTTTGGCGCTGTCTACAGGGAGTCAGAGAAAGAGCTCTCTTCCTCCAACTTTCTTTACTCCTTGTAAAATGAGGGTTACAGGAGTGGGAGTAAGAAGTCCTCCAGCTTAACATTATTTCAACATTATATCGAAAAAACTGCTTGCTGTGTAGACGTGGACTATGTTATTTCAGAATAACCAGTTATTCCGAAATAATGCTGCTCTGTAGACATAGTCTAAAAGTCTTCACAAATGCACAGTTATTTCATTGTGACCCTACATTTCTTGTTTAAAAACTGAAGGGGAATTTAAGTTACATAGCGGTCCAGTAAAACAAATGGGATGGATTTCCAAAAGAGCCTAAGAGTTAAGTGCCCAACTCTCATATAAGTTCAGTAGTTGTTGAGCAATGTCTTATGGTACTACAGACAAGGGTTGTGTTCGCTGTGCACACTTTGTTATGTTGTATGTGATTCCTACTGTCCTGTGCTGTTCTGCTGTAACTGTGTGTGTCCGTGCACCTCAGTTTCCAGGGGCACTGCACTGGTGTCCAGCTGGGGATGGGACTGTTGGGGAAGGCTAACCCACTGACTCTCACTGTGGGGAAGGCTAGCCCATCTTAGCACATACACAATAGCTCAGGCTCTCTTGTAACCTGGGTTGGGAGGAGCAACCAGGTGATACCTTGCCTGGAAATCTGAAAAAAGAAGGGGGTGGAGCTGCCTAATCCCAGGTTGGGGGATGAGTTCCTGTGTATGTGGGTTTTTCTCGGCTGGTGAAGGATTCAGGGAGAGGACGTAAGGAGCTGGCACTGGGTCCCCCTTTCCCAAAGTTGGATTGTATTGTCTGCTTCTGTGTTAACAAAAAGTCTGTGCTATGCTGTGTCCCTGTCAGTCAATACACCTGTTCTGCTTTCTGGCTGAGAGTCATATCTGACTGCAGATGGAGGTACAGGGCAGTGACTCTCCCACACTCTGGGTACGTCTAGACTACATGGCTCCGTCGACAGAGCCATGTAAAGTAGTTTACTCAGCATAGTCAAAGAAGCAGGGATTTAAATAATCCCTGCTTCATTAAAATAAAAATGGCTGCTGCGCTGTGCCTACAATCAGCTGATCCGGCACACCGCAGCAGTCTAGACGCGGCGTGGTTGACAAGGGAAGCCTTTGTCGACCGCTCCGGTATGCCTTGTGAAATGAGGTTTACTGGAATGGTCGACAGAGGCTTCCCTTGTCAACCGCACCGCATCTAGACTGCTGTGCTGTGCCGGATCAGCTGGTCATTGGCACAGCACGGCAGCCATTTTTATTTTAATGAAGCAGGGATTATTTAAATCCCTGCTTCTTTGACTATGCCAAGTAAACTACTTTACGTGGCTCCGTCGACGGAGCCATGTAGTCTAGCCGTACCCTCTGTGACGGGGAACTCCGCTCTCCTGCGGTCTGCCCAGGAGCTGGAGGAGTTTCTGTCCCAGATGGTGCCCCTGGAATGGGGTAAGTGGGGTACTGGTGTCGAGTGCTGAATCTAAGGGTTATGAGAGTACAGCCCATTTTTCCTAACCTTCAGCCCCTTTCACTACTATGGTTCTAACATTTCCCTTGTGTTTCTAGTGTAGTATGTGCTACTGCTGCAGTTTTAATAGAAATGCAAGCCTAATGTTGCAGTTTTCTTTGATTTTGGCATGCTGCCAACATTTTTCTGCATGAGTGAAAGGAAATGGCAGTTTTTAATCTGATTTAAATTTCATGGGTCAAAAATCATTTCTGTAATACAAGGGGATTCTTCCTGTCGAATGTCAAAGGCCTGTTGAAAATAATGGAAGTTTAGGAACTTCTCATTAAATAATTTGGAAAACTCCTTTGTAATGGAAAATGAACATGGCGTTACCATAGAAATTTGCTACCAACTTCCCCTATAATTCCACATCTTCATAAGTGACATAACTCAGGTGACTATCAGATTTTTCAGGATTTTGTCTAGACTTGGGAATTTGCTGAAATACATATTCCAGAATATATAAGCCCTTCTGTGGACACTCTGGGCTATCACAAGTGTAAAAAGGCCTTACTTGGAATACTTACTTGGAAGAGCTCTGATTTCAGTGATGTGGATAATCTCACCACCAATGTAGATTGCAGCTTTTTCACGCAGTCCTGTTTTGTGCGGTTCTTGTCCATGTTCTTCCATGAATCCTCCATAAAGAATCCACTCAACATGTTGGAGGCCTTCCTCTTTTCTTTTTGTGTCCTGTGGATACCAGTGGAGTATACACACTGTCCATCTGTTGTGTCTCAGTCTCATTATATGGCTAGCCCATCTCCTTTTCCAATCATATATAACTTGGATGATATCGTTGACACACCTTCTTGCATGCAGATCATCTATAGTAACATGCTGTAGCCTACTTATACCCACCATGCGTCTTTCCATTGCTGTTTGGGTGATTTGCAGCTTTAATTCTTCTGTAAGTGTGTTTTAGGTTTTGCAAATTAGGGATAAGGTTTATTGGATAGTCAACACACTAGTTGACTGGTTGCTCTTCCCCCACCTCCCGCTGTCTCTATCAGAAAGAGGCAGCAAGGAGGGGGGAAGAGAACGGGGTGTTTCAAAGTGGCAGCACCATGTAGAGCCTGGGGTCAGACCCTGGGCTCTACGCAGTACTGCTGCTTTTAAACACCCTCTTCTCTTCCCCCCTCCTTGGGGTACTACCCCACTGACCCCAAGCTCCATGTGGTGCTACCGCTTTGAAATGTCGAATGGAGTCTGACACTGGGCTCCCCACGGCAGCACCGCATGGAGCCTGGGCTCAGCAGGGGACTCCCCCATTAACCCTGGGCTCCATGCGGCGCTGCCTCTTTGAAACGCCACAGGGAGCACGGGGTCAGCGGGGAACTGCTTCAGTCCCCCACTAGCCCTGTGCTCCCCAAAGTACTTTCACCTTTGACATGTAGCAACAGCCCAAGGGCTGTTGCTACACTTCAAAGGTAGAGGCACCCTTATAGACTAATCGAATAGTCAATGCAAATAGTCGATGCAAATTGAATCTACTATTTGATTAACCAATTCTAAATTTAACATCCCTATTGCAAGTATATAGAATTACTGGAAGGATACTGGTGTTAAAGAGATGGGCTTTTGCGGTGGTGGAAAGTTTGGGATCACCAAAAACTCTGCACAGACTCCCAAAAGCAATCTAACCTGACCTTCTCCTTCTGCTCAACTCTGGGCCCAGCTCATGGTCCATCTGCAGTGCTTGTCCAAGATATACATATTGAGCCTCTAACCTGACGGACTGTCCATCCAGCTGCATGACGTACTCTGGACAATATGGGTATGACTACATTGCATTCCTCTTTTGAGAGAAAAAACCCTTCCTTCGAAATAACCCTTACTCCGTTATTTCGAAGGAAGGGTTTTTCTCGAAATAACCCTGCGTGGACCACGTTTGTTTTCCTGAAATATGCTGTTTCGGAAAAGCAGTGGTCCACAATTATGCAAGTGAAGCACGGGAAATTCAAATCCATGCTTCATTTGCAGTTTTCCTTGTCTGCATTTGCATTCCTCTCTCTTGGAAGAGGAATGCAATGTAGACATACCCTATGTGTTTTTATCAACTTTGTCTTCCATTGTGATTGATCAGGAAAATCTCCTTCACATTCTTACTGATGTCATTGAGGAGGGTTTGCAATGTTTCAGGTTTTGATACAATTAGGATGCTGTCATTTGTGAAAAGGAGCATCTGAAGAACTTTCCCATCAGTGAGAAATCCATCTTTCATTTGGATCTTTCGCAGGACCTTTTCCAGGACACTGGCAAACAACTTTGGCGAACAAACATCTCTCTGCTGGATTTTAACAAACAAATCCAGCTCCCCTGACTTTTTCTTCTACTGCTTCCAGAAGTATTTGTGATACATCCTTCCATTTTGCGACGACTTCCTTTTTTCTTCTGGTTTCAGTTATGGCAAGAATGTCAATGCGAATATGATGCAGTTCTTCCATCAATATGTTGACCTGCTCATTGCTTGAGAGGGATTGCACATTTAGTGTGCCAACATATAAATTAATACAAATGGATGGTCTCAGTATTGCAAGACTCTTGGCATCCTCTGCCTCCATATCCGCCACTCCACTACCATCAGCATTACTGCGGAAGTGAGGAGGAACTGCACAGAACTGAAGGTCATGCCATATTATTATTATGTTTGTAGTTGCTGTGGCAAAATTGTTGCCTGGTAGCCAACTTTCTCGTGGCGAACCTCTTTGTACTTTGCTAGACTTGTCCTTGAATGGTGGGCACAGAGTCCACCACCAGGACCGTACTCAAAACCTTTCCAACTTGGTAGAACCTGCCAGAGCTTACGCTGTGCTGGCATATCCTTCGAGAGCCCTGAGTCACTTCCATGCCACAATGAGGCAACGGAATAGGATTTTGTGGAGGGTTAAAAAAAAAAAGCCTTGTTGTATAGAAATGATACATCCTACCTCTGGCAGGTGCAGCATGGGAAGCAAAGATAATGGCAGAGCCTGTGTTAGAGGGACCCTACTAGTCAGGATAACATTTCTCAAAAAGAACCAGAGGCACACGCAGTGGGTGCTTTGCTGCTTCTCTGAACAAGAGCACTGCAAGCTTCCATCAAGTATGTACTGATGTAAGCTACGTATGTGCTAGCCCACAGCCTGAATAACTCAGCGAGATTCCCCTCAGGTTCTTGGGAGCATTGTGCAGTGATCTAATCCTGCTGGTTGCACAAATGGAAGATGTACAAAATAGGGATGTTAGCATGTAGTTGTTTACACAATTAATCAGCCTGGTTTTATCAGTTAGACTACACGCACCTCCGCCCCCAATGCCTCTGTATGGAGAGGAGATAAGCTGGTGACTGTGGGAAGCCAGCTTTTAAGATGGGTCCCCATGAGCACTGGGTCCTGCAGAGCTGTCTGCTCCTCCCCCACGCTGCTGCCTCTTTATCAGAGGCAGCAGGGGGTGGGGCGGGTGGGAGCCATGCTCGTAGGGAGCCAGATTTTAAGATGGAAAAAAATCCAGCAGTTACACATTTACACAAATACACATTAATTAACATCCCTAGTTCACAGACCTCTTTGTGCACAACATAGTATAGTGCAAGATGTTGCCTTAAGGATTACTTGCAAATGTTCAGCATTTTCAAGGCAAGTTCACAGTGCACACATTCAGAATTTCTTTAATTGATGTTTCAGCTACCTATTTTCCATGCTTAACATATAATCATAGGATTGGAAGGAACTTTGAGAGGTCATCAAGTCCGGTCCACTGCGCTCAATGCAGGACCAAACACCATCTATACCAGTGGTTTTCAAACTTTTTTTTCCACATGACTCAGTCAAAGAAGATTATAATTTGACTTGAGTGTGGGCTCCAGAGTGGAGCTGAGGACTTTGGTGTGTAGGAGTGGGCTTCAGCTTTGGGGGTGTCAGGGTTGGGGCAGGAGGAGCTTAGCTTGAGCAGCTCTCGGTCAGTGATGCAGCGGGCGTGCTAAGGCAGACTTCCTACCTGTCCTGGCACTGCAGGTGAGGCTGTGTCCCAGAAGCAGGCAGCAGCATGTTCCTAGCTAATGGGGGTGCTAAACTAGTGTTCCAGGCAGGGACAGTGTGCGGAGCCCTGTGCGCTCTTCCTCCCTCACCCACCTATGAGTCAGGCCTGTTGCCAGTCACTTCTGGGGTGCAGCACAGTATGCAGTGCCAGAACAGGCAGGTAGCCTGCCTTAGCACTGCCACTGATCACCTGATCACCCTGCAGCAATGAGATCCAGGGCCTAACATTTCATGCCTCAATACTGGATCACGACCCGTAGTTTAAAAATCACTGATCTGACCATCCCTGACAGGTGTTTGACTAACCTGCTCTTAAAAATCTCCAATGATGGAGATTCAGCAACCTCTTAAGGCAATTTATTTGTCTTTATTTGTCAGTGCTTAACCATCCAAGTTTTTCCTAATGTCCAACCTAAACTTCTCTTGCTACAAGTTTGAGCCTCTTGTTTCTTGTCTTATCATCAGTGGTTACAGAGAATAATTTTTCTTCCTCCTCCTTGTAATTCCCTTAGATACTTGAAAGCTGTTATTATGACCCCCTCAGTCTTCTCTTTTCTAGACTAAACAAGCTCTGTTCTTTCAATAATTACTTTCTATTTGGTAGGCCTCCTTCTGACTTCACTGGACATGCAGAGCTTCCTACAACTAATGGAGCATAGAAATGGATAGCACATGATGACCCATGATTTGTTAATGGAATATAACTGCTTCTCAGCAAAATCTTATATTGCTTCTAATACTTTATTACAAGTTCATATACCTCATTTCTGACAGTGTTGTTAATGGTTGAACTAGGGATGTTAAATATCGGTTAATTGAATAGTCGAGTAACCTCATGAATTCTTATCAGTTAGTCGATTATTCTATAGTCCCCGGAAGTGGGGCTGGCAGCCAGTGTGCTCCGGCCCCACTCCTGAGAAGTCCCCTGCCACTCTGCGCAGGGTGATAGGCAGGAGCTGGTCTGTAAGGAGAGCCAGTTTAAAAACCAGCTCCCTTATGGACTGCTGCCTGTCACCCTCTGCTGCTGTCCCAGGGAGTGGGAAGGGAAATGCTTATCTGATAATCGGTTAATTGATTATGCTATTACATCCCTAGTTGAACCTTTAGGACCTAACCAGTGCTGAACCAGAGAATTTGCCGAACCATGGGAAGTCAGTATTATCTAGCAGCATTCCCAATACTTCCACTGTTTACTAGGCTCTTAGAAGACATTTTTGGGTAAATTAGAACTAAATAACAGCACAGAAAAGTGGTGTCTGTAAACTTGGCCGCACCCATAATAAGTGCACATCCAGCTAACCACAGTTATGCTGGACCACGAATATTGCTGGACCAGAGAGTGCCAGGCTAGAGAAGGTTCAACTTATGCTATGAATTATGCTGGTCTTTCATTTTTTCACAGAACAGTGAGCACAATAAACAAGGGAAGAGCTTAAGAGAAGAAGAAACCAGTCATCAGTATGAAAGGTACACTCATATATTTAATGTTATTATATACTGTATAATATGTGTTGTATGTATGAAAGTCATAAAGAAAAGGTACAGCTCACATTGTTGTGCGCATTCTTTTCACTTAATAATAAATATGTTTTGACTACATATAATTTATGACTTTTATCATAATCTTGTGGGAGGCATTTTGTACATTCAAATTATTACAAAACCTACATATTATTCTCTAAAAAAGGTGATTTAATAAAAAGTGTATTCAGGCTCTTCTTCCAGTTGTATTATTTTGATTTTTGGTTCATAGCAGTGAGCTGCAGATTTGCAAAATATAGGGTAATTTTATTCTTGTCCTTCTGAGACAATCCAGGAACCTTCAGAGCCAGACATCTATTTGTCTGTTATCTGACAATTTATCACATAGTCATGTAGGTACTTGAGAAGGTCCAGTTAAACTGTGGGGCATACCTTTTATTGTTTCTTTGAATTTGAATTGTAGATATCCATCTTAGCTGCAAGTATGATGTGGTAAAATTATTAATTAGATAGCAATCCCTGGGCATACAGATTTCCAAGGAAAAGGGTCTAGATTTATCCTGACAAGGAGGGGCAAAAGAGTGAGATGCATAAATTATTTCATCTAGTGATCATGGAGTTAGTACAGCCATACTAAAGGTAGAAAATAATTCTCCTTTATTCTTTAGTCAGTGATTCAGCTGTGTCAGATACCAACATAGCCTTCTGGATTATAACTTTACACATACTGTCAGGCAGAATTCTGCTTGCTGGGTTTTAGCTTAGCTCTTTAGGGCAAGTCTACACAGCAGTCTACTGAGCAATATTCAGTAAAGGTACAGGATTGGTTCTTTCCCCTTAACTTTTTCTATAAGTGCCACTCAAGGATAACAATAGAACGTGTCAGGCAGTGTATGTGGGCAGTGTTTGTGCAATTCTTTGCTGATTAATCACTTAGCTCTTAGACTGTTGCCTCATATCATCACCTGCAAAAAGAAACAAAGAATACAATGGGAGTTAGGTTTTGTCCTTGAAGTATTTACATTTATTGGAATGCTTCAACACTTTTTAATATAAAACAATTGTTTTCCCCAACACAGTATTTTTCTCTGACTTAATGCAGTTTCCAAGTGATATTCCGTTTATTTCTAGGAGTACAACAGATAAAAGAAAGAGCAATGAAGCAGAAAAGAAAGCGGACACAAGACAAAGGGTAAAACTGTTTGGGAATATTAATATGCAGGGATTTTGTTAGAATTGGAAATATTATGTAGAATGAACTATATGTAATTAAACTAAATATTATCGCAACATAATGATGTGATTAAAATAGATATGGTAATTTGTATTTATATTAAAGATTTTGTAAATAACGTTGGTGTTTCAGGACAAAGTATAGGAACATTGGTTTAATCTTTACCAGTGTGTCCCTCTTATGGAGGGAGATAGGTGCCTATATGTAGGCTGCAGGGAGGTCTCTATCGCTGCCAGTGACATGCAACCAGGAATTTCTGTCCTGAAGTTTGTTGGCTCAGTCTCCTAAGGTTCCACTTTCAATTCCACCGTCTTTTTGAGGAGGAGAAGGGATTTGAATAGGATCTTCCCACCTCTTAGTATAGTGGTCTAACAGTTGAGCTGTTGGACGGTCTGATGTGATATGCCCTCAATTTCTCCTGTTGAAGCTACTTCACAGTAATAAATAATTAAAGAATAAGTGGAGGAGGGGTCTGCCACAGCCCAAGTGGTTGCCCTAATCATCAGGCTACAGAATTATTCTTCCCCACCCTGATCTGGTAAGCCCACAAGCAAAAATTTCAGTGCCAAATAAACTTTTACCCTCAGAATTTAGGCAACTGCAGATTTTATACATTGCAGTGGGGCCTAAAATGGAAACTTACATGCCTGTTCCCCAGGCCTAACTGCCTACTCTGGAATCTAGGTTCCTAAGTGGCTTTGGGAACCTATCCTTACTCAACATTTTTTTCTAATCTTATACATTTGAGGAAAAAAGTCCCCCAAAAGGTGAGAGAAGTTTCTAATGATGCATCCCATGAAAAACCTATCTACGTATTTACAATATAAAAATTCAATATTTCCTCTAAGTCTGGAAAATATGGCCTGGGGGCCAAATCAGGCCTGCCAAACCACTGGATCCAGCCCGCAGAGCATCCTGCTGGGACCTTCAGGCACTCAGATCCTATTGGCTGGAAACAATCGGCCAATAAGAACTGACCTTAGCCAATCTATCAGCTCCTATTGGTTGGAAACAGCCAGCCAATCAGAGCTGAGAGATTAGCCTGGGAGACGGGGCAGCAGAAGCCTCTTCCCCCATCAGGAGTTGAGAGGCATGTGGAGGTAACAGCCTGCATTTTCAAGTGGTCTGGGGCTGCAGCCGGCAGGGAGCCCAGCCTGCCTTGGGGATGCTGCAGGCTGGGAGATGCTAAGGTAAGCGCCTCCCAGACAGAGCCTGCCTCTGGTACCCCAGCCCCTCCCTCACCTCAACTCCTTCCCTCAGGTCACCATCCAAACCCTCTGCACCCTCCTTCCCCAAGGAACTACATAATTTTTGCAAGTGGGTTTTAATAGAATATTAAATGCAAACCTTTATTAATGCAACATTAAGATTACACTGTTACTGATTTTTAATAAAGTCAGGTTATAAAACATTGAAGAAAGTGAAGGTTTTTTCATGAATGTAAACTTTGTCACCTGACACTTATGTAGTATTTTGTGAGATATACTTGACAAAAATAGAAATAGAACATGCTACGTATGTACAATGTGGACAAGCTGTAGGTACTTTGTCTTTGACCATTGGGTCTGATCAAACTGTGCTTCATGCAGGATCTCTGCTTTCCTCCAATATTGGCACCACCTGATGCCTAATTTGGTTCCAGATTACTTTAGGGTACGGCTACCCTGCAGGGCTTAACTCGAAATAAGCTATGCAAATTGAGCTACATCGGTTGTGTATCTTATTTTGAAATAGCCTATTTCAAAATGGGAAGCGTCTACACAGCACTTATTTTGAAATAGAGCACTCTTCCTCCGACTTCTCTTATTCCTTGTACAATGAGGGTTACAGGAATCGGAGTATTGACAGTATTTTATCACTATTTTGAAATAACTGCCTGCTGTGTAGATGTGGACTAAGTTATTTCTGAACAGCCCTAGTTATTTTGAAATAGTGTTGCAGTGTAGATGTACCCTTAGTGTGACCTCAGGGTTGCTTTAAGCCATAACAGTAATAAAGATAAACAGGTAATAAAGTCCAAGGGACCATGTAGGGTTCCTGCTTCTGATGTACTTAAAAAACATTTTATTACCTTTTGAGTTTTTGGGTAGCTGTTCTTCAAATTCCTTTTTGGCTTTTCTTATTATGTTTATACTTAATTTGGTAGTGTTTATGCTCCTTTCTATTTACTTCCATAGGATTTGACTTCCACTTTTTAAAAGATGCCTTTTTATCTCTCACTGCTTCTTTCCATGGTTGTTAAGCCACGGTGGCTCTTTTTTAGTTCTTTTACTGTGATGGGAGAGCGCTCTGCTGTTAGCTTAGTCTTCACCAGAAATGCTACAACTGCATTAGTGAAGTTGTGGCACTGTAGCACTTCTAATGTACACTAGCCGTTACTCTGAGCATCTTGTGTGCGAGGTAGGTAATTTATAGCGGCTTTTAGATGGGTACAGCATACTTTCCTTCATTTTCCAAGCCAGTACAATTGGCTAGTGTGAGTGTATTACTACTGCTATTTGCTTACAGGATAAGCAACTGGAATGCAGCCCCCTGCTGCACTCTGATATCAGACCTAAGAGTCATATAGTTCTAACAAAGCTGTGTTTGGCATGGGGTTGAAGTGTAACTTTCCCCTCACTGCTGTGGATGGCTGTATTAGGTTTCTCAAGGACAACCTTTCATTGAAGATCACAAGCATGATATAATGCACAGTGTTCAACATTATTAATATTAATATATTTATAATCAGATCTTTCAGTTTCACTTTTTTTGTCTGATTATTTTTATACTTTTAATCTTTAGCAAAATCCAGGTGATCATGTGTCAACAGGGAAACCTATGCAGAGGCAAAAAAGCGAGGAAGAACTTGTAAGGACAATTGATATTTTTTATTTTCTCTTGATTTCTTGAGAGCATGGAAGTATCAAATAACTTTCCTTGTGAGTTAAATTCCATTGGTTTTTTTTCCCATACAATTCTGAATAGTATTTTTATGCAGGTAATTAGTATGCAATTATCAAAAAACTGGCGCACACTCACGAATTGTGGCAGACAGATGATTTGAACAGTTATTGAGAGATCTGGTTTTTTAATGCACTGAAAATAGCCACCCAGTAGTTTGTAGGCTATTCATGTGAATTGTCAACAGTGCTGTTGTTGTATTGTAGATTTTTTCATAAATGGCAGTTACAGACCAGTAAGTCTAATGTAAGTACCGGGCAAATTAGTTGAAACTGTAGTAAAGAATAAAATTGTCAGGCACATGGATGAATATAATTTGTTGGGGGAAGGTCAATATAGTTTCTGTAAAGGAAAATCATGCCTTTCTAATCTGCTAGAGTTCTTTGAGGGGGTTAACAAATTTGTGGACAAGGGGGATCCAGTGGTATAGTATACTTACATTTCCAGAAAGCCTTTGACAAGGTTTTGGTTTGCCTACTAATCCATGTCTGTTTTTCTTAGTTCAAATTTTTAGTTGGTTTGCTTTATGACCCATCAGATTAGAACCCAGTTATAATTAATGCAGCTGTTCAAATAATTTAATTTCACATTAATTACAGCAACAGGAATAATTTCTAGCTCTTTAAGAAATAAATTAGTTTTCCTTTGTTGTTATACCAATATGAAAGCTACAGTAACCTATTGTGAGGGTTTGTTGAAAACATATATAACCAGCACATTTAATCTCTCCCAAGAAATCTTAAGAAAAGGTGTTATTCTAAAAATATGATTCAGTTGGCTACTTCTTGTGCTCTTAAATTGTTGTTGCATATCCATCTTCACAACCTGTTACAATGTATGTCTGTAATTACATTTATGAACTGAATTTATAGTACATTAGATTTACACATTTATTTTTTAATTTTATTAGAGAAAAAAACAAGCTTTAAAGCTAGGTCGCTATTTATTTCACTGGCAAATAAAAAGAGCAATGTATTGTGTAGTTATATAATGGCTTAATTTACTCAACTGTTATGTTTTCTCTTCTAGGAAATCATTGATAACTATTTGACAAATTATGAAGATGATTTTGAAGTATGTATAATTTTTTTTTGCCATAATTCAGAAGTGGTAACTTGCGTTTCTTGTAGCAACAAATATAGCACCGTTTGTGTTTTATGCTTTTACTTTTTGGGTAACATTGTGGCCCTTTCAGACTTCTTACAAGGCTTTTATCTTAATCAGAAAACATCATGTAACTGAATGGTTGTACATATATATAAACAGGAGTGCAAGAGAGGTAGGGCAGAAAAGCAACTTTGACTTTTCCATTAGTAGCCTTCAAAAGATTATCATTTTGTCTTACTAGATTTCAAGTTTTTGAACACCCTTTTGAGTAAAAATCTTGAATTTTGGCCTACTCACTTGTGGGCTGCTAACAGTAGGAAAACTTCAAATCTGATATGTGTGTCTGACATGTCAGTAGGTCACCAAAAGGTGCTCAGGCTAGCAATTTACAAAAATTATGTTAATTTCTTTTATTGGACTTGCAGTTTGGTTAGAAGAATATAATGACGTTACCAGATCTATTTACCAGAATTTAGCCAAGTAGACTGGTTACAGTAAAAAAGTGTGCCTTAAGCTGTGTCTGCATTACATGATAAGGTTGAATTTATTAACGTCAATTTCTTACGCCCTGATTTGGTAATGTCAAAGGTCCATGTCCCCACTGTACACAAAAATTCAGTGTAGTTCAAAGTAGTGCGTCCCCAGTAGGGAGACTGCCATCGCCTTTGAAAGCGATGCACTCTGGGTAGCTACCCACAGTTCCTGTGCCACATTGCATTCTAGGTTATGCTCCTGGTGCACACTGACATTAAAATTGTACAGTGGATGGTTCAGGGTTCATGTCATCAGTGTCCCATACTGTGCTCATCTACTCCTTCCCAACTTGCTTGCGATCAATGGGAAACAATTTTTTCATGCCCATTTTGGCCCTGGTTACCTGCACAGATGCCATAGCAGCGTGAGCATGGAAATGCCAATAGTGATCCTTGGTGATCTAGCCTACCCTTTGCTCCCATGGGTCATGAAGCCATAAACGGGCAGCCTGGACAGCAGTAAGGAGCAGTTGAGCTACAGGATGAGCAAATGCAGAATGGAGGTGAAATGTGCTTCTGGACATTAAAAGGGAAGGTTTAATTGTCTGCTGACTAGGTTAGATTTCAGCAAATGCAACATTTTCTTTATGATGGCAGCCTGCTGTGTGCTTCATCATATCTGTGAGAGCAGGAGGGAAATTTATCTGGCAGGGTGGGGGGTCTGAGGCAGAGTGCCTAGTTATAGATTTTGAGCAGCCAGACACCAGAGCAACAAGGAGACCACAGCACGGGGTAGTGCAAATCAGAGAGGCTTTGAAAGAAAGTTTTATGAATGGCCAATTTTGAGAGTCATGCGTGTGGCACCCAATGAGTGTGCCCCTGCATTCAGTGTGTTTGCTTGTAATCCTTCACCACTCCTGCAATACAAGCAATAAAGAGACGGTTATTTAGAGATCATGCGTTTTTATTTAGCAAACATAGCAGGAACAGGAAAGGAATCCATGGTAGGACCTTTATAAGTGGGGAATCAGAAATGTGAGAAGGACAGCCTTTTGCTTCACAATGCCCTGGAGGTTGAGAGTGAGGCTGCCCTTGATTTCTCTCCACCACCATGTCTTAGGGCCCCTAAGGGAGAAGGGAAAGTCATTCTGCAAGTGGGGGAAGGAGAGGGGCAGAAAGCCTGTCCAAGTATGCATCTTGGAAAGCCACCATGCAGTCCATCGCAGACGTTAGGAATCACAAAACTGTCTCATGGTGCTTCACTTGTAGTTCCCTGTGTGTTCTCCTGATGCTCTGCTCTCCTTTCCTGGTGCTTGGAGCTCCTCTGTTAGTGTATTCCTCTACTCAGTTACACACTCCCTGTTCAAGTGGGAAGATTCATTTGCTCCTTGAACATGTCTTCCCTTGTCCTTTTTTGCCTTTGTATTTGTGTAAAGCGGACAGCTGGTAGAGCCGAGGGAGTATGCAGCAAGCTCTCTGCTGTTCCTGCTGTAATGAAAAGTTACAAGGGCATTCATTACAGGAGATACATTCTGGAACCTAAAACCTAATGGCTGTGTCTAGACTGGCCAGTTTTTCCGGAAAATCAGCCGCTTTTCCGGAAAAACTTGCCAGCTGTCTACACTGGCCGCTTGAATTTCCGCAAAAGCACTGACTTCCTTCTGTAAGAAATCAGTGCTTCTTGCGGAAATACTATTCTGCTCCCGTTCGGGCAAAAGTTCCTTTTGCGCAAAGCTTTTGCGCAAAAGGGCCAGTGTAGACAGCTGAGATTTGTTTTCCGCAAAAAAGCCCTGATCGTGAAAATGCCGATCGGGGCTTTTTTTGCGGAAAAGCGCGTCTAGATTGGCACAGACGCTTTTCCGCAAAAAGTGCTTTTGCGGAAAAGCATCCGTGCCAATCTAGACGCTCTTTTCCGAAAATGCTTTTAATGGAAAACTTTTCCGTTAAAAGCATTTCCGGAAAATCATGCCAATCTAGATGCAGCCAATCTGTTAACATACAGTGAAGATCTCTTTAAAGACAATGGAGATGTGTTCTGTGCAAGGCCAAAGTTATGTTTTAAAGCAGCCACCGTACAGCAGGTGTCAAGGGAATATCTGGACTCACATTTTGGTGGCAGGCATGATAAGGGACCTGCCAGGGCACCGGCTCTAGTCACACCAGCGGAGCAGAGTAACAGCTAATGTGGCACACCTCTTGTCTGGTACAACCTACTTGCAGGAAGAATCCTACTTTTCCCCTTCCCATAGGAGCTTCCGCGCAGGAGGAGAGATGGGGTCTGTTCATGCTGGCAGAACAGTATTTTGACACAGGCACCAGTAATATGATTTAAATTATTTAATTTCATTTGTGTTTGATATTTAGTAAAAATAATGTTATTTTAAAGGATTATGAAGATGATTTTGATGATGATGAAGAAGATAATGATAATGAGGACAGAGACTCAGAAGAAAAACTGAGAGAGATCCCTATTTCCAAAAAATCAGAAATAGAAGAAATTCAAAGAGCAATTAATGCAGAAAATGAGAGGATTAATATCATGCCACCAAAGAAAATGCAAAAAGAACATGAAAAGGAGCCAAAAATGGGTATGTTATTGGGCTCAATCTTTTAAGTTTTGTTATAAAATGCATAGCAGCTTTTGTTCGAACAGAATATGTCAGCTTGCTCAAAAGATCTCCATTAAAGGCAAAAAGCTAGTGTTCTGAATGAATCATTTAGCTTTGTGGCTAAGCAGCGTAACTTTCAAATAGCTGAATAAAACTTCAGAAATTTTACTAATGATTTCCAGTGTGAAGTATTAAGATATGCAGGCCGAGATTTAATAGCCCTGTATCCTGATTTGTAGGGCTGTTAGAGCTGCAGATCGTGTTTCAACTTCCTATGATGTGCCATCCCAGTCTTTCAAAGATCTTAACAATGACCTCCAACAGGAAGAGAGAAGTCAGGCCCTGTTATTTTTATGTTAAAAACAAGAAAGAAAAAACAAAAACATAAAAGACCACATACACATTTTTTATTTTTGGTTTATAATTCTTTAAAGTATATTTTTGCTGTGAAAAATGAATATGTAAAATGACAATCTCTTCCTCTATAGGTCTGTTTAGTTCATTGACTTTGTTCAGTATGAGGCCCTGATCCAACCATGCAGGTCACAAACTCTGGACTGGGGTCTATAAAAAATGCTTTTACCTACTTTTTACTCATCTTAGTACTTTGGGGGTCACTATAGCTATGGAAGAGTGACTGAGAGTCTCTGTGGATCATGTAACATCAACTGATTTTTTCACTAAAGTCTGATTACAGAATCTTAGTCAGGACTCAACTTGACTTTCAGATTCCAGGTTGAATTAGTACAGATTGGCTCTCCCTGGTCCAGCACCCTTGGGACCTGACTGGTCCCGGATGAGAGATTTTGCCAGATCAGGGGAGGTCATTTCAGGCCCCCTGCTGCTGGCTCCCCCCCTGCTACCCATCACCATGCTTCCTGCTCCCGCCCCCCCGCTTTCCAGCCCAGCTGAGTCATGGGCTGGCTTCTAGTACCCACAGCCCAGCTGAGCCACGCACCAGCTCCAGCAGCCCAGCTGAGCTGCATACAGGCTTCCGCCTCTCCTCCAGCCCACGCGGGCTGCCCGATGGCGCCTGCCCCCCCCCCCCGACAGCCCAATTAAGCCACATGCCAGCGCCTGACCCCTCTTTTCAGCCCAACTGAGCCACACGCCGGCTTCCAGCTCCCCCTTCACAGCCCAAATGAACTGCGCGCTGGCTCCTGGAACATCTGTGCTCACACCATAGAATCATAGCACACTAGAACTGGAAGGGACCTTGAGAGGTCATCGAGTCCAGTCCCCTGCCCTCATGGCAGGACTCAGTACCCTCTAGACCATTCCTGATAGATGTCTATCTGCTCTTAAATATATCCAGATATGGAGATTCCACAACCTCCCTAGGCAACTTATTCCAGTGTTTAACCACCCTGACAGGAAGTTTTTCCTAATGTTCAACCTAAACCTCCCTTGCTGCATTGCTTCTTGTCCTATCCTCAGAAGCCAAGGAGAACAATTTTTCTCCCTCCTCCTTATGACACCCTTTTAGATACCTGAAAACTGCTATCATGTCCCCTCTCAGTCTTCTCCTTTGCAAACTAACAAGCTCAGTTCTTTCAGTCTTCCCTCGTAGGTCATGTTCTCTAGACCTTTAATCATTCTTGTTGCTTTTCTCTGGGCCTTCTCCAATTTCTCCACATCTTTCTTGAAATGTGGTGCCCCAGAACTGGACACAATACTCCAATTGAGGCCTACTCAACACAGAGTAGAGCAGAAGAATGACTTTTCATGTCTTGCTCAGAACACTCCTGTTAATGAATCCCAGAATCATGTTTGTTTTTTTGCAACAGCATCACACAGTTGACTCATATTTAGCTTTGTGGTCCACTATGATCCCTAGATCCCTATCTGCAGTACTCCTTCCTAGACAGTCGTTTCCCATTCTGTATGTGTGAAACTGATTGTTCCTTCCTAAGTGGAGTACTTTGCATTTGTCCTTATTAAACGTCATCTTGTTTACCCTCAGACCATTTCTCCAGTTTGTCCAGATCATTTTGAACTATGACCCTGACCTCCAAAGCACTTGCAACTCTTCCCAGCTTGGTATCATCTGCAAACTTAATAAGCATACTCTCTATGCCAATATCTAAATTGTTGATGAAGATATTGAACAGAATTGGTCCCAAAACAGACCCCTGCAGACCTCCACTTGTTAGGCCTTCCAGCAGGATTGTGAACTGTTAATAACTACTCTCTGAGAATGATTATACTGCCAATTATGCACCCACCTTACAGTAGCCCCATCTAAGTCGTAGACCATGGACGTTGCTGGACCAGAGAGTCCTGGATTTTAGAACTGAAATCTGTAGTAATTTGACAGTTAGAAAAATCAACGTCTTACTTGTAATCTGAGTAGATTTCATCTAGTTATTTAAAGGCAATAAACATGAAAATGAGGATTTTAATTTTTAGTACAGATGCAGGTTTTGTGAGAGCCTTTTATTTAAGAGTTAGTATGTTGCAATGCAGATTTCCTATATTCCTTGCAGAAGCTCCCAATTTCTGCTTTAATTTCCACTGTACATTTGAATAGATCAGATCTGAAAGTCCCATTATAATACCTAGAGTCCTCTGTGTATTCTGACAAATCATTTTGATTTAACATGGTAAACTACAAGCCAGTGTAGTAGTGATGCTTAGCACTGCTGTAGCGTCTTACATTTCAAAAGCACTTTACAGACATTATCTAACAGATCTTTACAATCTTTTTCTAAGCTAGCTTAAATATTGTTGATTCTGATAGGGAATTAGACATAGATGTCAATTGACTTTTCAGAGCCTGCAGAGTGAGTCTCTGGCAGCGCTGGAACTAGAATTTATGCGTTCATGGCATCAGCACTTTAGTTGGTTCATTGAATAGATTGGCTTTCAAGTAGCAGCTTTGGGTATGTCAACACAGCCAAACCGCTATTTCAGAATAACAACCGTTATTTCAAAATAACTTTACTAGCGTCTACACAGCCAAATCGCTATTTCGAAATTAATTCAAAGTAGCGGAGAGCTTATTTTGAATTTGGTAAACCTCGTTCCACGAGGAATAATGCCAAATTCGAAATAGGTATTTTGAAATAAGTGCTGTGTAGACACTTATTTTGAAATAGGGGCCCTCTAGCCTCCCCAGGTTGCACTGGTGACCATTCCAGCCTCAACCAAGAACTTTCCTCTCCCTCCCTTCCCCCTTCCCCGAGCCCTTAAAGGGGTTGACTCTGGCCACAGTGCCCGTGCCAGCTCCAAGCCTGCCAGCCCAGAGCCAGCAGTCACTGCCCCTTACCCAGTGGCCCCAAAACATGAGCCAGCAAGCCCATCTCCGCTCCCCAGGAGCAGTCTTCCAGCTCCCAGGAGCCTGCCAGGGCCTGGAGAAGGCGGGCACCTTCCTGGTCCAGGGTGAAGCTCATGGACCTTATTCAGGTTTGGGGGAGATGCCCCCAACGTCCATGATCTCCACACTAGATGGAGGAATGGGGCCATCTATGGCAGGATAGCTGCTAGCCTGGCCACCAAAGGCCACATGTGAACCCAGGAGCAGGTTTGCATGAAAATCAAGTAGGTCCAGCGAGACCCCCAACCCTGAGCCCGGAGCTTCCCCTTGCTTCCCCCTTCCAGTTCCTTCCTCCCAGGTTTCCCCCTCCCTCTCCCACCTTCTCTCTTCCCCTCTCCCACCTCCTTTTCCCAGTCTCCCCACGCCTCCTTTCCCTAGTCTCACCAGAGTTTCATCCCCTCCGCCCCCAGTTTTGTTAAATAAAGAGAATTTGTGTTCATGAAAATACATGTATTTTATTTGACATCAGGAAGGGGGGTTAGGGAGAGGTAAGTGGAAGGACATGAGGGAGGAATGAGGTACAAGCCCCCAGTGGGGTAGACCAGGGAGGCTCTTAGTGCTCTTCAGGATGGAAGCTCTCCTGCAGGGCCTCCTGGATACTGACAGCCCCCTGATGGACCTCCCGGATGGCAGCCTGCAGAAAGTGCAGCCAGGCTCGCAGCAATGCGTCCACGAGAAGCACAAGAGTGCCCAGGGGCAGCTTCGGGTCCATGTTGTGGAGCGCTGTGGTATCCCAAGTGAGGGCAACCAGAGCCCGCAGAGACAACATGCTTTACTGTCCCTCATCGAGGTAGGCAAGCAAGCAGGGAAAGCTGAGAACCGGCTGCCCGGGGCGCGGGGTCCTTTAAGCACAGGCCTCAGATAGCGTCAGGCAGCAGACACACAAAGTAACTCCTGACCTGATGCCCTGCTGGACCTGGTTCCAGCCAGCCTTAAATGTGATTCAGCATCCACTCAATGTGGACGCGCTATTTCGAAATAGCAAAAAGCTATTACGAAATGCATTTTGTGTGTAGACACATTATTTCGAAATAAGCTATTTCGAAATAACTGTTTTGAAATAATGCTGTAGTGGAGACATACCCTTTCAGTTTATGGCTTATGTCTCAAAGGGCTACATTGTCTCCTCTCCTGTAGTGATTCCCCTTTAGCTGTAGAGGCCAATCTGTTATGGGAGGTGTAGTTTACACCACCTTGTGTCAGCTTGCATGAACAGAGCTATCTTATAAGCAAACTTGTCACTGATCCTTGAACTCTTAATGTACAAGGGTGGGGAGGACAGTTTTAGGAGAGAAGAAACATTTTTTGCACTGAAGGTGATTATTGAAATAAAAATCTGAGTAGTGATGGATCAGTAGTAAAGGGAGAAAAAAAGATTAGTTGCTTTATAATTTATAAAGTTATGATACTCACTGCACCAGTCCCTTGCCTGCAAATATATCATTACCTGCCTGGTTAATCTTTAGCAGCTGCACATTATAACACATTTGTTGATTGCTATACCTTTTGTTAGATGACATTTTAATGTTTTATTTATTTCGCTCCTAAAATTTTGTAATATTATACAGAAAGGCAAGACTCTCCTGCCAGAGGCTCTCTCTGTAGAATGTTCATGGATTTTGAAGCAGCAAACCAGCGGCAAACTAACCGAAATATGGCCAGTATACAGAAGTAAGCAGCATTAAAAATTCACTGCATGTAGTTGTTTAGTCATCTCACCATTTAAAATACAAATTATTTTCATAATGTTTGAAATTCTCCTAGTAATATTTTATATATTATATGATATGATAATTTCCCTAGATTTGCAGTCAGGTCTTGAATTTCATGTATGATCTTTATGCTCATGTCACAATAAACTTGATTCTTAATATTACCATTCCTTGGATGAGTATCTACACTGATAAACGTTTTAATATCAATGGGCATTGATATGGAACCCCATGTGCTCGGAGGGTTGAATAGATTGCTAGGTCTGTAGTATGTTATCGTGTAATGCCTAGGGCAAAGGTGGACAAATACCAGCCTGCGGGCTAGATCTGGTTCCTCAGGGTTAGCCCTTGGCAGGCCGCTGCTATATTTATTGGTGCTTCCACAGATATGGGTGTCGCAGCTTCTGTTGCAGATTGCCGTTTCCAGCCAATGGGAGCTGTGGGCAATGTTCCCTCTAGATTCTCTATCCATGAGCAGAGTGAGTTTACAAGGGATAATTAATAAGGTGCAGGAGCCTACACACACACACACCCTGAAAACCACCCAGCTTGCACCCAGTCTCACTCCCACACAGCCTTGCTCTCACTGTTCCTGCATCCATGGGCTGCTCAGTCCCTGCACCCCCATCCTGTGCACCCTTTACTACTACCATCACTATTCATTGCTGACCATCTTTAAATGTCATGTAGAAACAAATCTGGAAGGAAAACCTCTCAGAGTCTTTCTATCAGCTTCCTCTAAAACTCTCATATTAGCTGCCCTCTGTTCAGGGATCATGAGTTTGCCTAGAAAATGACCTAGTTTCTCTACGTTGCCCCACATCACCTGGGAGCAATTAACCACTCAGGCTTTAAACTAGGCTGATTAAAGTGTCAAGGGTTGGAATCTCATGACCTTTACAAAGGCACCAAGCAACAGATCCATGTCAGCGGCTTACTCAGATACCTATAACTCAGCTGTGAAGACATTATACAGAGTTCAAAGTCAAAGAACCAATAGCCAGATCAGATGCACCACACATCATATCCTTGGGAACACACCTGCTAACTGTGTTTGTTCTGATGACAAAGAACACTCTGCTTAATGAACAATCATACATTAGGTAGTTTTGACAAACACGTGGCTTAGGACAGGTGAGTATGAGAGGAGTCTCTGCATGAGCTCTCCTCCCAGAGCTGCTGGGTAATGTGACTGGATGGATAACTCATGGGTAGAAGCCTGCAAATCCTCGGATATCCACTTTAAATCTGTGGGTATCTGCAGATATGGATGCAGAACCCTGCATATTTGCAGATAGCTGCGGGTTCCCACCTCTCTGGATGCAGATGCAGATACAGATTTTTATATCTGTGCAGGGTTCTTCATGTGGGTGCAAACAAAAGCATTTTTTCTACGGAATCCTTCCCTGAACAAATAGGAAACAGGACGGGGTAGAGAGAGGGAGGTGGGGTGAGTTCAGTAAGCCACTCCCCAGAGGAGCAGAAGAGAAAGGTGAAGGGGGAGCAGGGGCATGTGAAATATTTCTCAGGCCATTCCACTGGCAGCGTGTGCCCCTTCCCCTGGGCCAAGTGGTCGTTATGGTTGTTGAGAATTGAGCCCAATAGCACGAGCATTCCACTGCTGAGATTTGAAACACCCGCTCCCTTCCCGTGCAGAACATCCTGCCCCACCAGTCAACAAAAGAGGTCAGCACATGCCCCTCACTTCCGTCCATGCGGGGGGGTGGCTGCCCTCTCACGAGGACCAAAGATTAACCTGCAGTTAGTAATGGTGCCTCGAGGCAGCCTGGAGAACTGGAGCTCCCGCCCTGCCCAGAGTACTGTGGGGTACAGTACGCTGGCCCAGTTGTGTAGCACCAAGCCCCCCCCCACCTCCCTGCTTATCACGTATCCCCACCACACATAGAGGAAGTTCCCATACACCACAGCATAGTGGCCTCTCCGTTCCTCGGCCACGCAAACTGCTGAGGAGGCTTAGGAGGACCTACTGCCATGTTAGGAAAGGGTGGGAGGATTTAGGAGCTGGCTGCTGTAGGGACCATCATTTGCCATCACCTTCTGGAGCACCACCTGCTCACCGCCACTTGGACACCCTCCAGCAGATGGGAAGAGGAGAGGGTCCAAACTGTGGGAAGTCACAGAAGGAGCAGCACAGCAGCACCCCCTTTCCTTCCTACCCACCCCAGATTAGGGAACCTGTGTGCACTCATGTGGGAAGGAAGGAGGAGGGCTGCGGAATCAGTGCAGGGGACTGGGGCCAAGTACAGGGCTGGTGGGCTCAGCTCCCTCCATCTGGGCATAGTTTAGGGATCTGCCTCGTGGCCCTGACCCTGGGAGCAGCTGGAGCACACCTGCACTGCTCTGCTGAGGAGGTGGGCAGGACTGAAATTTTTGGTGTGCGCCTGTGTAGGCATGCAACTTAGAGCAGACCCTGGCTGTGGGAAGCAGTGTCTCGGTCTGCACAGCTTTCTGTAGCTCCCATTGGCAAGGAACAGTGATCTGCAGCCAACAGGAGTGGCAATTGCCCATACCTATGGAGGCGTAGGTAAATAAAACAGCGCTGGCCTGCCAGGGGCTAACCCTGGGGAAATGCCACCATTTTATTGCCCATCCCTGTCTTAACATGACCATATTTCCTTATGCTAAATATGGGGACACCTGGTAAAATTACTAATATTCAAGCAAGTTCAGTGGTAATCAGTCAAAAATGTACACTTTAAATGTTCAAATTATAATCAAGTTTACTTAGCCCTCTCTAATAAGAAATACTACAAAGTTGGATATTTTTAATGTATCTTCTTATTTTTAAGTGTTTAGGGTTCACACGAAGGGGTGACACACACCCTTACTCACACACACAGAGATGTGTCAGAGAGAGAGAGAACACAAACATATGCACCCCTGTCTCACATGGGGATGGGGAGTTTGACCAACCAATCTAACCCACCCTGCCTGGTGCTCGTCACCCTGCATGCCTGGTGTCACGTCTTCCAGAGGCAATACATGCACCACCAGGATCACATGCCTCCCTCCCAATTTATGCAAGAATTCACACCAAGATATGGCTAGCTGCAACCTTTTGGCACTGTGTAGGAGGGAAGGGATGGGAGCAGGAGAAGAGATGACCTGGCCTGTATCTTTGCAGAGCTCATCTCTTTCTCCCTCTTGTCCCCCCTGTAGCAGGAAGCAGTTTGTCTCTTCCTGCTCCTACAGTTTCCAAAGGCAGCAAACACCTCCATCTAGGGTCTGATCACTGATAAAACCCTGTCCTCCGACTATGGGTACTGGTATTATGAGGAAGCAGAAAATATCAGAAACATTTGCCTGTTCTTAAGAAAAAGTCTGGATCTCTGCAGGAGGGCTTAAATACAGTACTGTTCTGTTAAAAATGGGATGTCTAGTCATCCTAGTAAAGCCATTTTCCTCTAACATGCTATGGGTTCATATAGATTTTACATCTTACCTATTTTTCTGTTTTGTAATTCCTTGTAAAGGAAGCGCAGTTCTGAACTGCTCCGACTAATTGACCTGGACTTCTCAGTGAGTTTTTCTTTACTGGATTTGCCTCCAGTGAATGAATATGACATGTACATCAGGAACTTTGGAAAAACAAACACTAAACAGGCAAGTACCTGGAAAATTATTTTCCTTCCATTGGTTACATTAGCAAGGAGGGTGGTAAACATCAACAATTGAATTACCATGTCAGGGATGGCCCTAAGTCAGCAGCTCTCTAACTTTGGGTATGTCTACACTACAGCGCTAATTCGAACTAACTTAGTTTGAATTAGTTAATTCGAACTAAGCTAATTCGAAGTAACGCATCCAGACTAAAAAACTAGTTCGAATTAGCTTTTTTGCTAATTCGAACTAGCATGTCCACACAGAGTGGACCCTGAACCGGGGTTAAGGATGTCCGGAAGCAGTGTCGGCAGGGCATCAGATGAGGACTTAGAGCGTGGAGCTGCTGTCTCAGGCTAGCCGAGGGCTGTGCTTAAAGGGACCCGACCCCCACCCCGGAAAGACAGTTCTCAGGGGTGCCCCGCTTGCAAAGCAGTCCTGGCTTGGATTGCCCGGAGTACCCACACTGGGCACATCACAACACTCGGCCATCAGACCGGCTGCACTTGCCGCAGGCTGCCATCTGGGGAGAGGGGGCAATTGGGGGGCCGCAGGAGAGCTTCCACCCCCAGAAGCCCGCAGAGCCAGCCCAGTCCTCTCCATCGGGGGTTCGTACCCCATTCCTCCCTCACCTCCTTCCACTTACCCCTCCCTAGCCCCACTTCCTGATGTACAAAATAAAGGACAATTGTGTTCAAAAATAGAATCTCTCTTTATTGAACAAAACTCGGGGAGACTGGGAAAAGGAGGTGGGAGAGGGGAAGAGAGAAGCTGGGAGGGGGAGGGCAGCTACAATGATGAGGGGTTTGGAACAGGTCCCATATGAAGAGAGGCTAAAGAGACTGGGACTTTTCAGCTTAGAAAAGAGGAGATGGAGGGGGGATATGATAGAGGTCTATAAAAGCATGAGTTGGGTGGAGAGGGTGCATACAGAAAAGTTCTTCATTAGTTCCCAAAATAGAAGGACTAGAGGACACCAAAGGAAAGGAATGGGTAGCAGGCTTCAAACAACAGAAAGTTCTTCTTCACAAAGCAAATAGTCAAC